TCGAAATACGTGCACACGGGCACGCAAACCGAGGCAGTGACAGAATGTGATGAAATGACATGGAAATGACAAATGGGCTTATACCAACATGAGTGAGCCTCAGCCACACTCACATAGGATGCCGGCGGATAAAAATGAAGTGCCTCGAAATGCGTGCACACGGGCACGCTAACCGAGGCGGTGACAAAATATGATGAAATGACATGGAATGGATGGCAATCATTCTAACAGAATTTCAGCAACAAAATATGGGGGAAAACAGTCCCGAAATGAGGCGAAATGACATGAAATGCAAGGAATTGCCCCGAAATGCCACATTAGGCACCCGAAATGGCCTATAGCTATGGTAAACATGCACAACATGGACATGCAATGCAAAGACAGAAGCTAGACAGTCCCAAAATTAGCACTTTCACAGTTATAAACATGACCAAACAGCAAGCATAGATATGGCAAAAATAGCATGCAAGAATAGGGGCCAAGATAGGGGTAATGAAGCAAGTGATGTAAACAAAACCCAAACTGAAAAATTTCCTTCTACAACATTGAAGAGGGACCAAAAATATGAATATTTGAAGAACTGTAAAATGGCCAAAACAGTATACAAACATGGTAGAAATGTGATGCAAAATGAGGCTCAAAAATGGCTATAACATGAAGTATGCAAAGTAATCACCAAACAGCCAAAGAACCTTGATAAAACATGTAGAATGGACCAAAATAAGCACTTTTTCAGAACTGTAAAATGGCCAAAAACAAAAGCATGGTAGGCTAACTAAACATGCAAGAATGGGGAATAAAAGAGAGATAAAACATGAAGTGACCTATGGAGGCCCCAAACCATGAAAGGACCTAAATGAGACATGAATTATGGACCAAAATAAGGACTTTTTCAGAACTGTCCAAGGTCCAAAAACAGAAGCAAAGGGGGCTACCAATTTATGCAAAAATGGGGGCAAATAAGGGATATAACTACAAGTGACACATGGAGACACCAAACAATGTTGAGCCCTTCTCCAATGTTGAAGAGGGGCTCAAAATAGGCCTAATATCAGTTTACAACATACTCGAAAACAAATTTCTCATGGGCCAAAAATAGCATGCAAAATTGTTACATACAAGAGGATCAATGAAGCAAGTGTGTCATGGAGGGCTCAAACAGGGTTGAGCCCTTAATGAAAAGTGAAGTTGAGCTCAAAAGAGGCCCCTTTTCAGTTAGGGCCGGAGCTTGAAACAAAAAGGAAGTGGGGCTTAGAAATAGATCAAGAAAAAGGGTCAAAAGGGTAAAAGTGTTACTCACCCTTGAAGACTAAGGCTTTTATTGCTTCTTGGATGAATTTGCAGCTTCTTTGACCTTTGAAAAACCTTCCTTGTTGCTCGAAATGAAGTGGTGGTGGTAGAGCTTGGTGGTGTAGAAGAAATGGTGCTTAAGGACTTAAGGTTTTTCAAGGAAATGAGAGGTATAGAAATGGAGTTGTGTATGGAAGCTTGAAGATGAAGTTTTCTAACCCCAACAAAGGATATATCTTGCTTGCTATATAGGCCAAAAAGGGGGTGTAAAGGTGGGGGAAAAGGAGAGCAAAATTCCCCCACAAAATATCCCCCGGATAAATATCTTGTCTGGGGGATATTGCCCCACAGCTGTAAAGTGCACAGTGCAACTGAACATACAAAATTACAACAATTATGCACATACATGTTTACACAAGCTCCAAATTCAACAAATTCAATTCAAGTTATGTTCTTGATCATCATCAAGCCTTGAATTCACAAAGTTACAATACTAAACTTATGAATTCATAATCAATCACTCACCTAGAAGTTCAATCTTCCCAATCTATGGTTAATTCTTGAGTTTAACTTCAAGATTCCAAGCCTTTTGATCAAACCTTCAATGTTGGCCCCTCTCTCTCATTCTAGCCGACTCTCTCTCTCTCTCTCTCTCTCTCTCTCCTTAGAGTA